AAAGTTGAATCTTCCGATTGTTTGTTTGGGATGTGAAACATGCAATTGAGTAATAAATAGGAATCAAAATTTAAAACAGTTAAACAAATCAATTAAGTGAACCCTGAAGTCTTGTTCATCATAATATTGTTTTTAATCTTTTACAATTATTATATTTTATTCAAATATTTTTATTCTTAATTTTAGAATTCATCTTTTAATTTAATTTCTCATTGTGACAACTCTTTTTGTTGATTTAATATAGCTTCCCTGTGGATTCGACACCTAATGCTACGCTACAACAACCGCTTAGCCAAAGGGTATTAATTTTGAGGCGAGACATCAACTAGCTTATTAGGTGATTCTTCTAGCATCTCTTCAATTCTGATATCTTTTGATTTCAAGGTAGCCCTTCTCAATTCTTCCACCTCGGGACTCACAGAGCATCAACCACTACGGTTCATAGTGGACACATCATTAGTTGTAGAGTTCAAGATGACGGGGCGTTGAGGCATAACCTTAAGTGAGTAAGGGAGACAGCTATTGGCCACAAATGATGTCTTTCCCATGAATGACTCACTAAGAGAGGTCTTCAAGATATAAGGCTGTTGGAAATTTTGACTGATGGCTGGTGCCCTTTTAGTATCTTGCAAAATGTAAGGCCTCTCCTTAGTGAAGTATTCTTCCGTCACTGGTGCTTTGAATTTCTCTGACTTTGGAGCAAACATAAACTTCAAAGATCCCATTCTCTTTAGCTCCGTAATTTTCTTTAAAAATCTCCACAATTTTGCAAAATATGTCCCTTTATATTGGAGTGATAAAGACACACCAAAGCATCATCAATTGTTATTGGCGGAACATTCGAGTTCATTGATGCAATTAGCTGAATAAGATCATACTCTATTAAAATGGCAAATAATTCATCAAGAGACCATGAACCGGTATTCTCCAATATGAGTCTATCAACTTCATCAAGGGTAATCATATTCATGGTGGGTGCACCATGTGGAGGTAAAGGATTCTGAGTGATGCTTGGAGCACTCTTAGTTTCATCAAGTTGGAGTTTTCCTTCATTGATGAGATCTTGAATTTTATGTTTCAGAGTTGTACAATATTCGATACCATGACCTGTTACATTATGATATTCACATTTAGCTTGTGGATCATACCCGTAAGGATAAGGTGGTTGCACATGGTTTGCTTGCACTGTCTACATCAAACCCGTTGCCACTAACTGTTTCAGCACCTCACTATAAGGGATTGGAAGCTTGGTGAACTATCTCAACCTATTTGTCAAGTGGAATTGCTGTTTAACTGGAGCAAGAGCATCGAAGTTTGGCCTCCTTTGAGGGTAGGTGGTAAACTTGAAGATCGGAGTGTGCTGTAATTGAGGCTGCCGATTGTAAGGAGCATTTATTGGCTTGACATGACTAGTGAAAATGTGATTCAAAGCTTCCTCATCTTTTTTCTTCCTTTTATGTGAGAACCTCTTCAAAGTAGATCCCGAGATTCCCATCTTAACTTGCTCTAACTGCCTTTGGATAGTTTGAAAGTTCATAATAACACCTGCCTTTTGTCCCTCCTTAATCTGTTCACCCGTTGTCATTAGCTGAGCAAAAGTATATCCGACACAAGGAGCTAGCCATGCATGGAAGGTCCCATAGTTGACTTGATAAAAAGAAAGCAAATTTCATTGTTGATAAGAGGTGAAATGACTTTAGCTGCTTCGGATCTCCACCTTTGAACAAATTCTTTGAAAGTCTCATTACTCTTCTTGGTAATTTTCTGCAAGCTATCTTTTGTAGGGGCCAGACTCATATTATACTCATATTGCTTCATGAAAGCTTAAGACACATCTTTGAAAGTGCAAATCTTCTTCTTGTCAAGTGTTGAAAACCAAACACTTGCTAGGCCTGAGAGACTATCTTGAAAATAATGAATGAGCACCCTCTCATCATTGGCATAAGGTGCCATCTTCCTGACATACATTTGTAGGTGGGCATAAGAACAACCTGAGCCATCATACTTGTCAAAATCTGGGCTGCTTGAACTAGAAATTTGTCTAAATTCCCGGATAGTAGTAGAGATCATCTAAATCGATGGAACCATAAGTTTGCGGCCCTTGCATAGCCTTTAAAGCCTCTTCTAACTGCTGCAGCTTGTGATCAATCTTTCTTGACTTCCCATCTTCTAAAGCAAGCCTTAGCATCGCAACCGAGAGGTTGGGTTGAATAGTTGGCACTTGTCCCATCAAAGGTGGTATGTTAAGGGTAAGAGGTGTGGTTGTGGGCAAGGTAGGGTTGTTCATCTCGAATGGTGGGTATGAGGCTTCAAAGGATAGAGATGATATTTGTGGAGCATGTGAAGATGACTCCCTCGCTAGAGGTTGATTCTCATAAATAGGTGGAAATTGCAATTGTGTGACCATAAGATCTTTAGCATGATTACCTGGTGTTATGGTAGGGACAAGTGGAACTAGTATTGTGGGTATTAAGGATGCAGGTGAAGGAACCGAACCAGTAGTCAAAGTGGACAAAGTGAGACTAATGGTCTGAAAAGTAACAGCTATAGTTTGCATTATAGCTTCCAACTTATCAACCTTCTCATCCACGATTGATTTCACTAGATTAGTAGCAGCATTTTCCTCAAACATTTTGGTTACTCTAGATTTGAGCAAATACAGAGAACGCTGCTTTTTGAAGACCTTTCGCCTTGGAGCTATGATTAGAAAAAATTTTAACTACTAACAGAAATGTAAAGACAAAAAGGAAAAATTAGAAAACTAAAGAAATTTTAGCCCCTTTTGATTGAACTATTAGTTTCCCTTTCGAAGTTCCATATGGATTCTCATATCGACATTTCCATCTTGTATGAAGATATCCACCCGTTTTACAATGAGTTGTGCTAAAACATGGCTTTTCATTACTAAATAACCACACTTTAAACAAAGTTGGCAAGCAATACAAAGTTGCATTCAAAGTGCTTACAAGCCTTCATTCTTTTAAAGCTAAAACAAACTCATTATAGAACATAAGCCCTAATACAACCTTTTAAGCACATTAGACAAGTCAATGATAAAGTCGAAGACTGGTTGGAAAAATCCCCTCTCAATCGAATGGGTCTTTTGAGTAATGTGATAATGAGTCTCGGC